AATCAACCTCTACTACGACCGCTCTGGTTCGAAACATACTAGGAAAAGATCGCTCATTCATAAGCTTTATAGTTCCGATGATGTAAGCGCTTGATTAAAAATTCACAGGCAATCTCTCTGCTAGACTACGCTTTATGGTAGAATCTCTCTTGGGACTCCAGCCCAGGAATTCAATGTTTTTTTGGATACTACGATCGCCTTATCTTGGGTTCCGAAAAGGGGGCTACCCCACACCTACACTTACTTTCCCTATCCAGGCAGGAGTTCCACACAGCTAAATGTGCCCTTCACGATCATGTACTATGGAGGCTTTGTTACGGGTAAAATAGTCAAGGATCACATGTCGGTAAGTGAGAATACTAAACTGAGAATCGGTCTTGGCGAACCCTTTTAGATAGATGGAACCCGGATTGGAATAGTCCCTTTCGGATTGGCTGAGGATGCACCACCTCCACAAGAGGATGATGAAATAAGCGGAGCTCTTGCTTTAGCAAAAGTGGGCGAACAGCCTGACATTCCAACGGTCTTGGACGTTATGGTTGCAAATAAAGCTATCAAGACGTCGATTTTCACACTTTACTTCACCTGGTGAGTCCTTCATTCTCTGTGTCAGGCACTCAAGCTCTAGCTGATTTGGAACTGGAACTGAATTTGGAACCTCAAAAAATGACACCAGATATAATGGCTGTTGTTGTAGTTCATTTTCTTTGGTTAAACATGGCTAATCTGTAATGTAAGCTTATCTCGATGTAACAGCGAATTACGTGAGTGGTATATTTTAGCATTTCTGTGACAGTTATTTGTATTTTCACGACAGTTCTCATTTGTTTACCAGTCATCGTTGATGGACGAAGTAAATGGTCACTAAAATGATGGTTTAGGCCGCCGAAACATCCGAATTGTAATGCATCCTCCACTTTCTTTCTCACCGATAACGACAATCCCGAACATCTCGGATTCATCTTTACGAATCGCCGAAGATGAATGAAGCTTCTAAACGTGAAAAACAAAATTGCCCTCTAAATAAGAACTCATTACACTTGGTAACTAGATCCCGATTATACAGCCGATCAACTCCTTGAATAATTCCGTCGATCACCTCCACGCCCAAATACCATATGCGGAAAGAGGTGAGATGTCACGAATGCCTAGTTTCTCATTTAGTCAGGTAAACATGAGTAACCTGGAAACTCTCAGGTCGAAATAGCGCTCATAATAAAGGTACTACTTCGCCTTCGTCAAACCATCAAGTAATGTAGGACGGTGTGACAACTTAGCCATTTAAAACAAGAGGGTTCTAACCCACCGGCAATTTCAAAAAGTCAGCAGTGCTTGGATGAGACCAGAACTACGGACAACCAACGAAATTGACCAGTACATCAGCATTCGAGAATGCTCCACACAGTCTAGAGTATCTATGGATTCCACTTGCCCTGATACAAAGCTGTTAATCTGTTCATCTAGCTTGGCAATTGGCTAGCAAACGTTTTGTCACCATACCAGCAGACATCTTTAGTGCGCAGCTGGGCGAGCTAACCTGATCAACAACCAATAAACTCGACACATTACCATGATGCAAAGCGTTATGTTTTTTTACCGTTCAGAATAATAAGTCACAAGTCTCTCAAAGCATTACAACGAATTCATACGTGATTTGTTTCTAAACCCGTATTTACTATTGAGCTGACTACTTTAAATGTGTTGCTCAATGCCGAAAGTTTATCTGGTGTTTCTGATGTTGCTCAATTGATCACTGGAATAAAGTAACTTGGATGATATCACTGGTACTATCAAGTTTCGCCACAAATTTCACACAACACCTTATGACGCACTCAATGGTAATTCCAAATGTTATCACTGCAAAATCAAGCAAACTCAACACACTATCAGCATAGCTTTTTGAGTAGCACTAAAACCACAGCTTCTCAGATCACACATAACGGTTTCTTCGACCCTGAAGAAATTCTACATCCGAATCCGGCGCAAGAAAATCTGTGCAGATTCCCTTATCCTACAATGTGAATCCTATCGATCAACTCTACTTTCTATCTAAGTACCTGGTTGCCCGAAAGTGGTCTTGGTCTATGGCATTAGTTTACTCATAGATATTCAACCTTGGGTTGTTTGCTTATTCTTTCTCTATTCGAACGTATCACAGATGGTCTGTAGGTCAAACTGACAAGTCTTCTATCGTATTATTGATGGCTAATCATTTGTGCTTGTAACCTTAAGGTTCTTCCTACATATCTGGTGTAAATACTGGTCTTTAGCTAGGTTCGTTGATTCAGACCGACTGATTGTGGTGAGCAATCAGAATGATTTGATCGAATGCTGCGTTAGTCCTTGTGAAAGACCACGGGTTGGGGATGTAACTGTGTGTTTTGATTGTAGGTACGGTTGATTCGGACAAGTCTCGATGACATTAGATATTTTGAACTTATAGAGACCTACCAATACATGTGATCCTCTTGTTGACAGCTTGAAATATATGACTCCCTTGCAACTACTGTGTGCGTCACCGCGGGAACCTGAGAGGAATCTTATTCCCGGTAGTGGCGCAGATTAGCTTTTTGGGGTCCCACTACACCCGTATTAAAGAAGCCAGCAAAAAGGTGAAGACAATATGTTCTTTAATAACCTCCGGACGTTCCAGCGGATCGCTGACATTTTAGGTGAATCTACCTGACCATTCACTAGAAGTCAAATTATATCGAATGTATAGTTAGATGTTTAGTTCAGGTGTGAAAAACTTTAATCAATGGGAGCCGTTCAGTAGGCATGTTATGCTCTTTAAACCAAGATAAATCTTCCATGTGGGACACACCTATCGTGCGAACGGAGGGCAATCCTGGGGCTAGAGTAAGGTTAGATCTCCTATGCCTAGATAAAGACGGTTGGAAAACTGGAGTCGAGTTTGATTCAGGGGCGTCTCCCTCAGTAGATCGCGTCATCAAAAGGGTCGTCACAAGACAGTCTTGGAATGGAAAGTTATCAGTCTGCTTTATAGAGTCTAAATAAAATGTGCAGCCAAAATTGGCTTTCTATGGTCCCCTTACATGCGTAAATTTCTTGACCAAACAGCCGATCTATTTTGTTAATAATATCTACGACAAGTATATTCCGCTTACAGCATTTTTCTCAGAGTGATGGAAAAGTAAATACAATGTTTTAAGTATCGTCCTTCATTGTAAGGGCAGTGCAGCATCGTTCTATGCAGAACGCTGGAACTCGCGATTGTGCAACGATGGAATCGGGTGAAATTCATCTTCAGCGAACGGCTGGAGGTACCGATGGTTCTCGGGTACCTGCTTATAGAACCTGGACTCACTGTATATTCTACACAGTGGACGAAATCAGTCTCATCCATTATTAAAAGATCAAATTTCGTCAGTATTACCAGCTAAACCTTAAAACCTTAAACCTAAACTTTAAGACACTTTTACCAGTCAATGGCGACAGCTTCCTGCGAGCCTACGGATTTTTTGCGTCACATACTGACAGTCAATCTTACCTAAAACCGCTAACATAAAACCACTGCGAAGTGACACAGAAGGGTTTTAACCATGACGGTTCAAACCATAGCTGAAAGTCGGAATCTTCGGTATATATCAGCAGTTTGGTGCACCTACGCGGCATAAAAATCTCCGAGGAGCATGACTACAACAGCTGTTGTAGCTTCTTGTGAAATAAAATTTGTCATACAGAAAGGTGACAAGTCCCAGATACCCAGAAAAATGAACCACTATGGATTAGCCAAGAGCCACTAATATCTCGCATTAGGTCATTGCTGAAACAATCACGGATATGACTACTTTGACATTCGTAGCATTGGACTCATTCGGACAGCTAAACAAGTTTTGCATGGGTGCAGAGCCCTTAGCACCTGACTATCCAGTTCCACATAAATGTTGCGATAATGGGCATCCGCCTGGAAGAATTTTTAATTTACTTTAGTTGGTGGAAGTAAATTAGCTCAGTGAAACTCGAAAACTTGACGGCTGGTGTCTTCACTTGTTAGGATAAACTGATGCTAAAGCGCAGTGCAATACCATCCGGATCAGGCTGGCTGTAAATAGGCCTCTATATGTTTGAACCCTGGTCTTATAGCCTCCGGCCGACGTCGGCATCAAGGGCAACAGACCATTCAGGGTTTGCAATGTAAGTGAAATTTTCCGGAAGTTTCTTTTGGCTGTCCACATTTTGCCTTCCATTGTGGACAATGCAACATAAACCAACTTGTGTCCAAGGCCACTTTGAACATTTGGTTGAACTGTTTGCATAACAGCTTGAGCTCCGTAGCGAAATTGACCCTGTAAACACCATATAAATATACATATATATATATATACATATAGTCTAAATTTCAACCAACAATTCACAAACATTCCGTTCCGTTATGAACATACCGTGGTCATTAATTTAACTTACTCCTATGTATCGCTGTTCCCATTACAAGCTAGTTGGTTAAGTCGTAGAACTGGGATGTATAAACGATCAAGAATCGAGTGATTCGATTCAACCAGATCATGCCATTAGCCAGTTACCTTATTCCGGACTCAGCAACTCGAAATCCACGTCTCTGCCGGACCGAGAGCGTCCTAGCGTCCAAGTGGTGTTAATAGATAAGATTTTATGGGATACCCGGCAGTTTTTACGAGAGGGCGTTACGTAAGGCTTACTCGTGGTACTCTTTGCTGGACATGTGTGCGTTCAAATACCCACAGATTGTATTCAAAAGAGCGATGACTCCTAGAAATACTTTTAAGACTGCATCTTTGAGCAGGATAAAATCTTCAGAGAGTTTACACATCCAATGGTCAAATGGATGGTTTCTATCCTAATTTGTTGCTGCGTTAAAAAAACTCGGTCCGCCTGACGAAATTACGGATCTTGTTTCGAAATAGTATTGTACTGTATTTGTTGTCCCAAAACATAATGTAAACACTTTTGGGCTATCTTAGGCACACTGCCCAGGCGAACCATTTTAACTAGCCGGATATTCTACACTATTTATGACCTCGAAGCAGGCGTAGTCCAAAATTATCCTGTACTTTGAGCTTGAACTTCGCGCTTTGGTCGTAAATAACGACGATCAGTCGATCCCGCTATGCAGACCATTGGCTCTACGTGCTCAACCAGGTAGTTTTATTAAGTATTCGAAACTTTCGGGCCAGCAGGTGAATCCACATAGTACTCGCCTGTGTATCTTGATTCTGCCAAGACCACCGATCTGAAACAATGAATTATCGTCACTAGAGACAGCGAATCCATTTACCTGTTCAAAACGTAGGGGATAAGGTCGCCTGTGTTGATTCTGCCAAGACCACCGATCTGAAACAATGAATTATCGTCACTAGAGACAGCGAATCCATTTACCTGTTCAAAACGTAGGGGATAAGGGAAACAAGCGACCCAGAAATTAGTACTATGCACGAATTTCAAAAGCTTGCCAGCCATTTAACTTGCGGTCTCCAAAAGAGGGGTTTAGAAATGACCTGGTGTGTTAAACTTTCAGAACTATGCGGGTGGTTGATTCCTCCAGAGCACCATCAAACCGGGGGGTATCGAGGTCAATCAAACAGGCCAAAACTATGGTAATAATCGAACATAGGGGGTTTGGTTTAGGTGGATAACTACTATGCGTTCTGTCTGTCTACTTTAAATGTCCGATATATCAAACAAATCTGGCTGGCACTTAAATGAAGGTTAACACAGGGAAATACATATTAGTAGTGCCACAAGAAATGAAACGCGTGACAAAACTATGTAATCGAACATAGGGGGTTTGGTTTAGGTGGATAACTACTATGCGTTCTGTCTGTCTACTTTAAATGTCCGATATATCAAACAAATCTGGCTGGCACTTAAATGAAGGTTAACACAGGGAAATACATATTAGTAGTGCCACAAGAAATGAAACGCGTGAGTTGCATATTTAGACTGAATCTTCTCATCCATTATGAATCGCCTTTTTGCAGCCACAGGGACTGTCTTCCCGGAGGACCAGATGCCCAGATCATCTTTGGCGAGGTTGACCCCAAACTATACAACGAGCCGATATTCTACGTGGATTTGGTCCCCTCATTTAAGTGGCAATTTATGCTGCAAAGGTTGGTGAAGACTTTTTAACGGATAGTTTCTGATGACACGTTGTCCGATTAAATCTGAATATTTGTCCCAATTTTTTACCTATTTGCTGAGCAGTGAAATTGCTGGATCTTGTTGAAAACCGCATGGTTGCAAGAATCACATAGAGTGGCAAAGACTACGCTCTCGTCGCTTCCTATTTGAGGAATCAACACTTTAATGACTACAGTACTTACTAAAACGTAATTTTGGACCGTACCGTCTTGTCTCTACTCACGAAGGGTGGTGAGCTTTTCTCACGGGGATGCTCAAAACCAAGTTTATCTATTCGCTGTTAAGCAAGAAGATTACTCCAACCCGTTAGTGTTAAAAAATTGTACTTTTATCTTTTTACTGCTTATTCCAAACAAAATCACCATCTGTTTGGTTGATATATTACCTAATCACCTGAAGTATTTAATCGGAGTATTATATGAAGCCTGTGCGGTGCACAACAGACTATAACTACTTGCGTTATCTAGCGTGCAAATGCACATTATCTTAGCTTTAATAAAAGTTTGGATTGATTTGGGACAGGAAAACAACTGCTCAGACTAGAGTGAAGTGAGCATGCAGTATGAATACCGCAACGGCCCACAAATAAAAGCGTAATAACCTTGGGGAATGTGAATTCTGACCGAGTTCTGCTGATGAATACTGGATGCACTATTCGAACGGCCCTTATAGGGGACAAGCTGTTGTGTGGCCTTCACAGACTACCTCGCCACATTCACTGACAGCGTTTGGTTCGGCTACGGCTAACAATGCTTTCAGTGCACCCTTTTTCTCGTGCTATACTATTGGATCGCTGGCTATCCAGGGATTGTTCATATCTTTGCCGGTCTTTTACTGATAGAATCATATTTCGTGTAACCTCCCCCGACCATTTAGGCCAGGTTGTGATTCAACCCTGCGCAGGCCATCTTACTCGCTCTCCCTACGATCATCAGTGATAATTCTGCTAAGATAGCGAGTGGTGAAGACAGGGCCGCAAACTGTTTGGGGTGATACCTTTAAATTGAGTTTTCCTTACACTCCGAAAGCCTGGTGATGCTAATTTCTCTTGGTGGAAATTTTGGATGGCGCTTTATCCACTAGCGTTATCATTCAACTCTCTGTACTGAAAAAAATTTCTGAGGAATTTTTCAATTAAAAAGCCAGTAGACCAGAACTTGCGAACTGACAATACCTCTTCTCTTGAGTAAAACTAACAGTAAGAAAGTAAACCTCATTTAGATAGTGAAGAGATTAAAGTTTGGACTCTGAAGCAGTTTACTAAAAACTGCCTCACAGGGTAAGGATTATAACTATGTATCATATAAATACGAAGCCCCAGTTTGGAGAACAGCTTTGTAATCCAGGATACCAGGCATGTGACCTTGTGGTTACAAAATAAAATGCTCCATTTTGGATAAATTCTGCCTCAATCCAACCGTATAACAATAAATATTTTACGGAACGCTGTAACATAACTTTGGTTTTTCAGGATATTCTTCCAACGTTTAGGACATAATAAGTAGGAACGCTTTGAAATAATGTGATTTTTTGAGAGCGAGCTTCAAGTACGTTTTGATGAAGCTCATCCGACAGAATCAAAAGTGAGGACAGGGCAAAGCCTTCGAAGAGTAACGTTTGGACTAACAAGAACGCCCCTTCCAGCTCCGAACTAAATCACTTTTGAACTTCACCAATATAAATCCATATGGAGTATGAAAAGAATACAGTATGGTCTGAATATAACCGCAGTTAATTTGCTTACTGACAAACACTGTTTTCTCGGGTGAGCGAAGGTTCCAAATAATACGTGCTACCCTCGTTGTCTTGTCTTATTTCGCACCCGAAAAGCAGTTGCCGGCACAGAACAAAACTAGGGCTTATAGGAAAATGCTGACATTAAATTAATGACTCTGTAGAAAGTAATTCTCATACCTTCAGGTTAGACATCGGCTTCTTCACACTTCTCCAAAACGTTCTTGTCGAGATTGATACGAAAATGCCAGCGATAGTGGGACCGATAGAACAGGTACAAAGGATTAACACTCTCCTCGGTTTTCATGACAATGAACGGGGCATATACGCGAAGCCTTGCCGACTCGTCGAGGAACAAAGAGATCTAGAGTTGGTGTTTCCACATTTTGCGTTGCCGACATCATCAGAATTCTACATGCAGCGTGTAAGTTTCCTTTAGCAAAAAGTTTGAAATGTCTGTATAAAGGATTGTTTGATTCTACCACTTTTCTCAGTTCTGGCACTGCAACAAGCCTCACTGACTTCGCTACGAGCAGTCGACGACCAGATTTCTAATTTTCATTACTAAATCCAAAAGTTCATGCTTTGATCATGCTGTAGTGACGTTTTGTACGAAACTGTAATTAACACGCCACACTTTTGGAATTACGTGGAAGCAGTTCTGTTGATTTATTAGGTTAACACGTCATGATAAAGGCCGCAGAAAGAGAATAGGACGAGTGTTACGCCTGAGAGTAACCCACAAGTCTAGTAGAGTCTCAGGACATTGTGCGTACTAAAATGATGTCTTGCACGCTGATCCAACAGTCAGTTTGCCTAGTTTGTGCACGTTTCGCTTTGCGATGTCATTATGTGCCACACAACTCTTCGGAACAATAATAAGTGAGAACTTATACAAGTAACAATTTCACGTAATACCTGCTTACTCATAAAAGGGCCAGCAATGTCAGAAATGACGTTCAACAAAGTTGACTGTGCAAATATCAAGTCAACAATTATACCATTTCCTAGCATTTTTACTAAGGTAAAGCCATGAGACTCTCAAAACGCTTGTCAGGGACTCTGGAGTGTGGTGAAAATGCTCTGTAGCTGACTTAGTCTTGTTCCATTCTCCTGAAAAGGTTCGGAAACTTGACCAGCTTCTTTCAAGCCTGAGAACAAATTGTGTAATTGTACCACCAACAAAATTCAGTTGCCTGGAAAATGCGACAGTTATACTTGCAGAGCACTACACTTCAAAACAAAATCGACCAGTTCAGCTGGTTGGCTTCGGTTGCTGCCATAACGCCTCTCATTAGGTATCCGCCAAAAACATTCAGTCGTATCAATAACAAGACCTACGCACATAATACTTCGAGAGCGAAAACACAGCCAGATTGTCAGTACTGAGTGTGAGCGCAGACGGGTAATAGCTAGCAAAATTATCTTATCCAACTCGTCCTGGAAAACACTTACTGAAAATTTAACCAGTAGATCCAAATGTCCCATATGTTGTTTCTGGTACTGCTAGTGGCAGTATATTGTAGTGAACCAAAAACAGACCATAGAATTTTTTTCTTTTGTTTCAGTACAGAGAAGGAGGAGAGAGTATGTGCGTGAGCCCGTTCGCTTTCATCCCATATGCTGATCATCCATACTGGATCCTCGGTAACGCAATCTTGCAGGACGTCTTCACAATTTTCGATAGAATCAATGGGAGAGTAGGATTTGCTGCAAGGCGCTGTCTTTCAGAATGATTGAACCAACTAACATACGATTATATCACTCGGATGTAAAGCATAATTTTCGTAATTTTCCGTTATAAGTAGTTTGTATGTTACTTTCATGTTCTCTTATCCAATCACTTTAGGTTGTACAATTGCCAACAACTGGTTTCGTACTAGCAAAGCTCTCTGCCATCCGCACGAGCTCCTTACTTGCTTGTTCCTCATGTACGTTTCAAATCACCTGGCTGTCATTTTGACCGCCTTGCTAAGTATCAGTTGCTGCAACAGGATTGATCAGTATGCAAAATACCTACGAGTGGCGAGACGGTCTGGTAGGCCAGTGGCTGGTTAAAACTGAGTTCAACACATCAAAATCTCTCAGACAGGATTGCATATTAGCTTGATGCGTCAGGCTGTATTTAGTCCTGTTGTAGGCAACATTTTCAGCTGTTCCGTTAAGTCATCCAGATGGGGAAAACACTTTACGTCAGTATGCTGCAGTATCTAATTTTCAGTCCCGCTTGCCTACTGGCTTCCGAATTCGGTTCATTATGGGCGAATAAAATGACGCAAGTAGTGCTTTTATCAGATTATGGGTTCCGGTGTGCCGAATTCGATCAGAAAACAGGGTCAAGGTAGCTCAAAGCTACACCACCAATAGTGACTTCCAAGTTTTGAATGATGATGAGGCAAATCGTATGTTTCGTGTGACTTATTTTCGGTTCCAAAAACGGTTAATAAGTGAGTCAAGGAGGGAATGGCCAGGGTTTAGCATGTCGAACACAATAACCCGAATCATACCAGCACGAATTTCTTCACTCTTTGCTTAACTTCTAAAGAGTGTGCGCGTAACTAAAGCACTCCCACTCGCGTATCCCAAACGTGAATCCAAAGCAGCTAAAAGGGTAGTCCTCTCAAACATCGGGTTCCTCATATTCTAATTACAACGGGAAGTTCCATTATCCGTGTTCCAGCAGAGTATTTACAGAGGGCTTGATCGTGCCTCGCAGATACTTCATTTGTCCGGATAACCAGTGCTCACAGTTTATTTATTATGGCACAGATTTCTGCTAGAATTTTGTGTCAATCTTCTCAGTTGATCTCAATTCCGAATGGTCTGAATGAAACAAAAGAGAGTACACCACATATCACTGCCCATCGTTCCGGCATCTGCTCCACGTTGACAAAGGTCCAGGGAATTAACGGTTTCATTCTCAGTAGACTTTACCGAAGACGGATGTGTTTCTTAACGTTTCTTGTACACCGGTCGGTTTCGGTGCGCTGTGTCAGATGACGATTTCGGTAGGCATTTGGTAATGAGTTTAATTTTCCAGTTTCTGTGGTACGTGCTGGCAGGAAATTCACTAGACCATCAACCGTATCAGTAGTGAGCCAAACGTCCGCAGCACACCTTCCAAAGTATTGCACTGTCCGCATTTTCAATCAAAATTTCTGATATTCAGCCGCCACTATGACGGCCTGGGTGATCAATTTTATCAAAGCTGGGGGGTGGCAGATATAGAAGGTACATGGTTATGCTCGTTTAACAAGATAGTCGTTCAGCTGTAACGCCAATTCGGTGCCTAGCTGCCATGCCATCGGAAGGAAGCACAAGGACTGGGATACTGTTAATTTGCTCAAGCCTAGACCAGCGGAGGCGAGGTATGGTTCGAACCACGGACCTTCCGGTCTGTGGATTCGCACTCTATCCACAGAGCCATCTCGCCCCCTGATAACGTGGACGCAAAACTTATTCTTGTGAAGTAAAGGGTTGCAGTCAGAGTGAACTGTTTGCTTATTTAGTGTCGGTCTCGGGTAAGAAGAATCTTATCTTCTGCCGTGTAATATACAGTAAGCCACAGTAGAGGTTTGTCGTGACCGAGCCGAAGGCATACATGCTGGCACATCGGACTCATCAGACTTCAGTCTCCATCGCATCATGAAGCGAAGCCACAAAACGGGTTAGACGCAAACAACTTCTGCTAATCAGTACCGGATTCAATCCTGAAAATCATTAACCATGTTCAACATTTTATGACTGTGTTGATACTCTGCTGAAAGAGGTGCGCGCATGCATATAAAACCTGATGTTGGAATTGCTGATGCGCAGCATTAGAATAGATAATTTCAGGGCAAAGCTGATAACCTCGTTAGCATTGTTGGAAAATTTGATGGCGAAATTTCCTTGTTGTTTGAAATCTCACTCAAGTTTGACCGTCCACTTCACTTACCCTCAAGGCCAAAACTTTGCACTGTTGGTCTTCGTTACTTTACGCTTCACTTGGACGGTTTCAGTAAAACGATTTTGAAATGCGTTTATGTCGCCGGATGTGGTATTTCCAACGGTCTGTTTGGACGTGAACAATTACCCTAGAGTAAGAACGATTTCGGTGATGCCGAACTACCACTTTAGATCCAGCTAGTGAAAGTCATTTGCAAACTGATGGGGAGTTTAAGTTAAATGAGAGAAGAAAACCTATTTGTCCTAGAAGTTGTGCCCACTCATGGATATTTTTAGCATTGTAAAATGTTTTACCAGTGTTATGCTAATTAACTTCACAAGAGGATCACCAGTAGCTTATCCGTAATTTTTACCAACTTCGCAAACTCTGATCGCGGTCAAATGGATGCTCTAGAAACACCACCACACAAAATCTGTTGTACATACGGCCGGAATCTAGTTAATTTTGTTCGAGTTAACTGCCACGTTAATCATTAGTCATGTTAACGTAAGTGAATTTGATGTTTCTTCCTAAAAATATATCAGTGCACGCCTTCCTTAGCCTTATCCAGTGGCCAAACCAGTCATGCCAGACAAACGCTTCGCCATATGAGCAACACAACAGGTCGTATATTGTCCAACGGGTCACAGGAATACCGTCCCCATTCGGTGACTCCCGGAAATTCCTGTGCCAGCTCAAGCTCACTTTTTTGAACCTAACCGTAACCACGCAAATGTCAGAAAAAATCGAATCTGTTGCACCATACATCGAATACAACTTGGTCTTAGTCCGTGAGAATCCTTATGGTATCTCTGGTTGATGGAATTGAAATCCGCGTACACCTGAGGTGCGAAAAGTTATCTGCTGTGACCTTTGAAGTTATGCTGACCTATAGTCATTCACTCACTTCATTGTGCTCTCTATAGTCGATTGATATTTTTGTATATGTATAAAGATAATATTCCGAGTAGGCACAACAGCCTATAAAAATCAAATAGATTGGGATGTCTTCTGTCGAAATATGCAACCGTTTGAAATACACGAATGACGGTGTAATTTACAACTTTCCTGAAGTATACCCACCGTCCAAAAGGTCTCAAAGATCCTACTTGTGTATTGGTTCCATTACACAAACCAGTATATCGAGAATTTTTCAGTCCATCGTCCCCTCAGCCAATGCTGTATTGTCTACCTTTGTATCATTAAATGCACATTAAATGATCAGCAGGTATCATGATGCTCTAACAGATAGCCCTCAAAATGTGGCCGTTACCCTGAGAAGTACGTCGAGGCGTTCCTCGTTAGGTGTGATTTAGCATGAGGTTCGTTAACAAGAGAACATCCCTAGGTAAACGTGCTATCCATTTTGTTCTGTTGTTGAATAACGAACACAAAAATAACATCTAATTAGGTCGACCTGTTTGCCGAATGGTTATTGGCATTAAGTTGTAATCAAATGAAGGATGTCTCATATCTGAAGATGTGTACTTTGGAATCCGCTGAGGAAAATGTGCGTTGAATGCGAAGAAAGCATTCTCCGGTAATTATGGCCCTCAAAACTCAACAGCAGGTCATGGACATTGTTCAGAACATGGAATTTTATTTACGTGTTTCTATCAGTGTACAACGCGACACCTCAAAAGGTCATTTTCATTCTGTGCCTGTATGTTCTGGAGGTGGAAGCTCACCAGTACTGGACTTTCTACAAGTCACCAAAATTAATCTCGATTCGGCGCAACTAGTTCAATATCACCAATTGGATTTTGTCATCTTCTGAACCTCATAGCTTGGTTCACTTTACACTTTTCATAGGCCGGTAGCTTTGTCTCTTTCCTATTTAGCTACGCCCTCCTATGCTCAGCATCGTTAAACCCCGCGTCGACACACTGATCTAGCCCCGTAAGTTAAGGTTATTACTGGTCGTTGACTAGGTGGCTGCTAATCTGTTCACCGGGCTCGGCTATTGACTTGCAAGCGTCTAATCACCATAAGGGGAGACATCATCAGCGCGCAGTTGGGTACCTAATTCCTCTTTGCCTGCGTGCGTCTATATAGCATTTGGAGTCTGTGTTATCTTCTAGCATGACCGGCTACTTAGGGGACAGCGATTTTTGAATCTATTGGTCCGTTTGTGTCCTTTGTTGCGTTGTCGTTCACGTTTCATTGAATTCCTTGGTTACCTCAACGCCTGTTATTTTTTGTGATTTATTCACTATCTTTGATTGGCCCTTCTCTCGATTCATATTGCATTGTGGTTTGGTCTTCTCGATAGCGATTGATTGGCTGTAACGTCATATTCTCTTCGTCAAACAGCAGCTGTTCCTGATTCCGCTGGTTAATTCGTCATTTTGGTTTGTTTTTTGGGCGTATTCTTTAATTAAATTAATTTGTCCATCTTTATCCGGCTTCCCTGATCCTCTTCTGAGTTGTTCCTCTGGTGGCCCTTGCATGTGATTCTGGAGTTAACTTACCATTAGTGGCTGAAATTGAATCAATTTCGAAGTGATTTTGATAGCCTTTTTGGTGGAGTACCAAGCTTTTCCTGAATTCAGGTTCTTTTTTCTTTCTTGCCTGAGCCAATATGTGAACATCGCTCCAATCGAACTTGTATCTCCCTGATCTTTGTGCGCGCGGAATTAGTAAATACTGATTATCTTTATTAGCAAGCTTGTGTTCATGTATTCTGATGGGGAGGTTTCTTTTGCTTTGTCCTGTTTACCGTATTTTGCAGTCTTTGTATCGGATTCTGTATGACACTGTTCTTTATCATTGGATATATAATTTTGTCTTGATAGTGTCCTCCGCAAAGTGTTCGCCGCTTTGTAGGCAATCTTATTGTGCTATCATTTTCAATGAGGCACTCATTACACCGCAACTTTTGATGCATCTTAATTCGAAACGTTTGGTTTTGAGAGATTTGTGCGTAATACTTTCAGCCCGCTTGATTTTTGGGTTCAGTAAAAATCTTTTTTGGTTATTGCTGCAAATAATGGTCGTAGTCTGTCTTTGGCCCCAGAAATGCGACGAAATTTCTGCTCACACCGGAAAGGCCACAGTCAGGCGGGGAGGAAATACATATAAAGAGTAGCCATATGTCTTGAATGTTTTTTACCAGTGTGCTGAAATGATCGTTCATTACGTCATCACTTAGTATGAACCGTCAGATCCAGAAAAAGAGAATGGCATATTTGTCCACTCGAAGATATCCCAAATTTGGAAATGTGTACTCACCTAAATTCATTGAGGAATACTGAGACCCAGAATGGGCCGTTTAAAACATCATAAACGAAGGATCGAGCTGGGTTCCAGGTGAGTCTCCCGTCAAGAACAAATTGGTATGTAAATGAATGTATTTCGGTAGGCCAATATATAATTTTTCGAGGATGAATTGCTTTCGCCGACCTTTAGAGAAGGTGGCGACGTGTCCCCTACTATCAAACAATTTTAGAATGCGGCCTCCAAAGGGCCACCTAGGGTTGCCCGAGTCGTTTACTGATGGAACCACGTGCTTGCTAACAACGTCTGTAAAAACCCATAGCCTCTGCTCACAGAAACTGTAACCCTTTACCACTTTTATTGTCTGTGGATGCAGTCACATCGGCTGAATCACGAGACGTCTTCGGAGTCGTATTGCCGAACATATCCTCAAATCACTCCTGAACTTACAAAACGATAACACCCTGAAGGGCAACAGCGAAATAGTTAGTAAGCGCCCTTAGTATAAACCCTTGAATACCTTTGAAAGATCTTTCACTTCCAAGTAGTACGTTATTTATTAGATTGCGAAGGCTGTTGTCAGTAATCATTAAACATTCTTTTGCTCAAAAGATGAGGAGTAGTTGAAAAAATTTAACTGTCTTGGCATTTGGATGTTACATCCCCCTGTTCATTCCTGACTTTACTCATCCGGAATCTCTCCTTTAAGTGGCCATCAACTCATTTCGTCCCCCGCTATTCCACATTACGACGAACTTCATTTATACTGACTTTCAACTTTTGCACTACCCCACTGGTATCCCTTCAACACTAGAGCACTCCCAACAGGTGCGACACCACGTGATTTGACTTGAAACAGTGACCTTTCCACGTCTTTATGCTTCCATATACAAGTGACAGAATTTTAAACGCTTGCAAATATTCCTATTTTGTTAAATAAATAACGGCCCCATTGCAGCCGAAATTCCTCTCAACAAAACATCTTCAACTGTGAAACTGACTCGTTTTGCTCCGAACACTGAGAACCCTTTTCCTCAGTTTTATCTTCACAGTTTGTTTGGTCTGTCGCTCTTTGATGACAGATCGAATGATGATGGTTTTGTAGTCTTAGATAGGTACCTTGTTTCTGTACATCCATTAATAAGCGAGAGGATCTATCCAGAATCCCATGATGCGATCGACACAGTTGTGGGTATTAGGTACTCACGCCATCATGGCGTTGATAATTTTTACGATGATTCTCCATCACTTTCCGCCCCCTGATGACAGCCAAATCGATCGGTATTAGATGAGGCCTTGTGTGAGAGATAGTACACAGAGCAATGGCCTCTTCTGTGTACACAAGCAGACTTTGTGCAGTGTGTTCAGCTGAAAAACCTCTGAACAGGAGATTCAAAGAGATTTTAACCAATCCATCTTTCAACCTCAACTTAGTCTGCAGGGAAGTTCGTTGCAACGTGCATTCAGAGACGTACTAAATGGTGTAAGGAAACGGGGAACTATGAAGGTGAAGGAGAGCGGTAGCGGGCTGCTCAGGGTTTTCGACAATCTTATGAGTCACACTGAGGTAAACTCTGACGCCCTAAATACCTTTCCAGCTGAAACGTGGGGGAATCTTTGTGCAACACATTCGGGAGAGGATAGCTGAGACAGTGTCTCTCATTTTCAGAAAGTAGTTTACGATATACGATTTTGAAGCAAAAGCATAGACAAATTCGATTTTACCTAGCAATCAAATTTTACGAACAAACAAAAACAAAAAAATTTCTCTCAAAGGCAAAACAACCGATGATTCTGACCAAAACATTTAAGATTGTTCTGACAGAGGACACCGACCCTTCTTACCAGCCGTTGAGCTTGAAATGAAATCCCGAAGAGCACCCCGTAGATTCTGACGAATTTGAATTGCTTCTTACTTCCTTCTCTGGAGCCAAAA